TTTCCCTTGTGCACCTGAATGCATCTTTAGAGTAAAGTCAGGCAATGCTGGCTTGATCCTGCCAATCCCCATTCTCCTCCCCTCCTGCAAAACCAGAGGGCTTAAGTTGACTGGATGGTCACAACAAGACAGGATTTTCTTTTAAAGCACTCCCCTAAGGATTTGAAGTGAAGATCATTTTACCACAGGAGCTAAGGAGAAGCCAAGTTGTAGAAAGGCTATTTATGATAGGTAAAGCATATGGACAAGCACGCTCAGGGGCACCTTTTAAGAGATTTCCAGCCCATTCCCCTCTTACTGTTACAAGTAACTAATAAGGTACCAACCTGTGCCCACCTCCGCTACAAGTTGCTTAGTGTTTAAAGTCGAGAGCTGCAGAACTTCATGGGCCCCCGGAAATGCTCTGCCCTGGCACTGCCCCAGGGATGCAGTCACAGCCTTGCCCCCAGCCTGCCTTGCTGAAGTCCCTGAGCAGATGCCTTTGCTGAGCCTTCAGCCTGAGCTGCTTCAGATCTTTTGTCAGTCCTGTGCTGACAGCTTGCTCTGCTCATTGCCTCGGAGTTCCCCTTGTACCATTCTGGCTCCACTGAGCTGCTTCACAGCTGTCTCTGTCCCATTTCTGCTCTTCTTGGCACTTTGTGGTCATCTTCATTGGGTTTCATCTTTATTTGCCTCTAGGAACTACCTCCACTTCATTTCAGCACTGGTCATGGCTTTTAGTCTGCTTGATTTCACCTCTTCACACGACATTACAGCTTCTTCAAGGCTGGTGTCGTCTTCAGGCATGATCTCTACAGGAGAGGACCCCAGTACCGTCTTTCCTGCATTGTCAGGCTCAGGGTTCATTTGCTCTCATACTTTCTGCTGTGGCTGTTGCAATGATTTCTTATCCAGAGAGTGTGGAAATTATTTTCCCATTTGCTCATTAGACAAAGAGGGAAAACCAGAATCTTATTTCTCTGGATGCAAAGTTTCTTTGGAGTTGGTGAGAGCACCTTCTCTTGCTCCATCCGGGACATGGAGAAGACCTTGGGTCATTTCTCCTTGCTCACCAAAAGATGCCAGCAAAGAGCTTCAGTTCCTCAGGCTCAGCTCCGCAGCACTGTATATTAGGCGCCTTCACCTTCGCACAGCACAGCAGATAACTGATTTTTCTTGAAAAACCTGCTTTTAGCATATTTCTCAACAGGACGTGGAATATGGAACAAATAAGGATGGAATATTTCTACTGATAGAAATAACTTCTTCTGTTGGAGACAAATGATTTTTAAGGAGGTGTCCCCAGTAATTTCGGTGGTGAGTTTTCTGATTTAAAAAATCCTATATGTGTCAACACAGGAATATGGCCTATAATATTTAAATTGTCACATGCCAAAGGCTGAGTACAACAAAGAAATCACAGTGCAGGAAGTAGGGAGTGCAAACATGAGTTGGCCTTGAAGGAATATATGCTATAAAATCTTTTAAAGCGAGTGAAGTAGATAAAATGCTTGTATAAACATTCTTGGGGTCAAAAACTTGTGCGATTGCCTGACATTACAATAGGAACATGGTGGCCAGATTAAAAGGTTTAGTGAGAAGTATTGCAGAGTGAGAAAACAGGACAGGCTTGTCCTGGACAAACCAGGTATGACGCAGGCATTTTATTTTTAAGGCCGTTTGGTGCTGTAAAGCTACAGGGAGGTATGCAGTAGCTTGGTGGCCAAATAGATGTGCCAGGACCCACTTAACCACCACATCTACACACATAACCGGATGAGGGTGCAAATTTGTACATACATGCTTTTCTGCATACATGCACTGGAGGGATTTTAATATCAAAGCATACAATTAGCAGGGCTTGGATGTACCCTGCAGTGGTTCTGTGTGTGCAGCCACATGTGGGCTCTCATTCCCGCACTCTGCCACACAAGCTTGCGACTGACCATAAAGCTTTAAAGTCATGAGGTTTTATATTATTCACATTGCCTCAGACTAAAAACACCCATAAAACCTCAGGCAATGCCAAGACTGAGCCTTGCTCTGCCTTCTCACCCTGAGGAACCTTGTATCATATTGGCATCTAGCAATCATAAATATTTCACAAAGGTGCTATGAGCAAAAAAAAAAATTAAAACATTTATTGTTAGTGTGCATTTTAAACACATAACACACAAAATCAGATAATTAACCAAGGCCAGGGGATGAAGTGGAATATAAATGGGTGTATATGCTGTGAATTAACCTGTTATAGCGATGATATAGAGCGAAGTGTTGGCACTGGGGAAGGGTTGTGGTGGGATACCGCAGTGATTTTTTTGCTACATCTCTATTTCTAACTATTTCAGTGGAATTTGCTGATGGTACTAAATTAGAGCACATTCATATAAAAGAACCTAGGCATTTTTGAGACTGGGAATAGAACTAATAGAACGATACGTAGCTTCGAAGAGTATGTGCTAGTCCCCAGGGAGAAAACAGCAAAATGAAACCTCTTCGGTGATAGGGATATTCAGTACTGCAGTAGCTCTTACTGAGCACTGGACCAACAGTAACGAAAAAAACAAAGAAAGGTAGAATACCAGTTGGACATAAAACAGCCAAACTACAATTCAAGTTTGCGTTTTGAATCAAAATAGGATTTGGGTCTGCATTCAGTAGAAGTAGAAACTCACTGAAGACCAGCTTGGACAGTTCAGATCAACTGACTAATTTGTTTTCTATTTGAAATTACTGATTGACCAAAGATTTTTTTTTTAAAGAATGGTTTTGAATGTTTAACAAGCAGTTTGACCACACTCAAGCCCACCAGGCAAGATGGGACTTAAATTCTGCTGTTCTCTGAAGTACCCTGCGCTACTCTTCAACTTAAGTTGAAGCCTTGGGTTTGTGAACTGTCTCTGAGAAAAGGGTTTGAAGTATTTGCTCTGAAAGGGATTGAGTAGGTTATTGTCTATTCATGTCTTCATTGTGCAAAGCGATGAAAACCAAATCAGTTCACTCAGCTGGAATAACAACAGCGAGTGATAACTGATGCACATGTTGGTGAATTGATTTTGCAGTTTTAAACTAGGTATCTTTGTGGCTGTATAAATATGCAGTCAAATTTTCTTCTGATGAAACATTCAGGAGACCATTCGATAAAAGTTGAGAAGAAAGCTTCCAGCCAATTTCAGAGGCCTTCCCTCGAGTCTCTCACAGCCATGCAGGTTTAGTCTCTCAATTATCAGCTGAAGGTAGAATATACATTCACACCAACTGATTCATTTCAGATGCCACTAGAGACTATGCCTCGGAAATATGCGTGAGGGAGAGACAAATTCAGGCACATCAGATGCCACAGCTGCCTTTGACTGTTGTAAGTAATAGCAATAGAGTAGGAGTTCATTAAAGATTGGTGGTCCGAATTAACCATTGTGTTTCTGTGATTGCATAACTGATTTTCTAGATGGAACAAACATGCAGTGGGACTTCAGCGTCTGTGTTTCAACAGAGCTTTTGATACATTGCTATTTGGGAAGTTATTAGTTAAATGGGCAAAGGCAGCGATTAGAAAAATAATTGCAAAGCAGGTAAGAACCTGGCAAAAGACAGTTGAGAGAGGACTTGAAAGAGATTTCCAGAGGAGGTTCTGGTGGTTACCTTTGGTTGGGTTGTTTAATGCTCTCATCGATATAAAAACGAGGAGCAGGCTGATGGCATGAAGCTAAGTCCTGCCAGGAGAGATGCAGGAGAGCTTTTCTTTGGGAGGGAACAGTGAAAGGGAGGAGAGCAGACTGCTCCCTTTTGGCACCATCTTCATTGCTCTCATCACAGCGTCATCCCTGGAGAACGAGGGCCCGACGGCTTCCCAGGCTGTGCCACAACGGGCCTTCCCAGCACTGTGCAGCTGAACCCTACTCTTTGCGTTGTGATAGGTCTGCTTTAAATAGGAGAGCAAAGGAGCCCTGACACAAGGACCAGAGGAGAGGTGCCCCCACTCAGTTGAAAAGCGAGAGGTTACTTTTCAAGGACTATTTCACCAGATTTTCTTACCACAGTTCCTATTAAACAAAGGTTTTGGAAGGGCTGAAGGTGATCTTCCAGTACAACAGCTACCTTGTTCCTTTTAAAAAACTTCAGCATCCCCTTGAGAGGAAACACTGACTTGGATAGGGCATTACTTTCTAACACTGTGATAGTTGCCACTGCATGGACATTAGCTACCTTTTAGCTTATGGAACAAAAATGTGCAGGGTTGATGTCACCTTAATCAGGGTCACTTCCCTAAAGAAAAGGCCATTCATGAATTCAGATGCTCAAGGATCAAATTAGTCATTGCCAGAAGAAAAAAATATTATAGATATCAGCTCTGGAGCAACATACTAGCCCTGGAGCTGATTTCTGGGAAAGAACTGTTCCTTGGCATGGTTTGATTCCTGGAAGAGAATGAGACTCAGTAACGTGAAAAAAATTTTGAATTTGGTTAGTTCCAACCAAGCAATAAAAAAGTGGATGTGGTCTGAGAAAACACTAGCTAAGACAATTTACCTTGTTAATAGTAAACAGATTTTTTTTTCCTCTGGTGTCCAGAATATAATTTGACACATTGACCATATATAGAATCTACTTCACAACTTCCAGCTCTTTCTAAACACCTAAAAGGCCAGGTTGTCTCTTTCCATCCATCCTAGTGCACAGGAGTACACAAGACTGTCAGCTACAAAAGAAAGTGTGATTTCTCACAGCTACATCTGCTTCCCAGCTTAGCCTCCTGTTTCAGGTGTGAATAACTTCTCTTTTTTTTTTTTTCTATAGAGCTATATGTTGCCCAGTCCCTGCTTTGCTTTACTCTCAGATTTGTTTCTTCAGGCACCAGATGACCATGCATGGGGAGGTGGATGAACCAGGTGAAAAGTCCCTTTTTGCTTCCGTGATTCTCTGCAGTGCCACTTAAAAATCATACCAGTGTCTGCTGGTATCATGCCAATGACTGCTGCATCGCTCCTCAGTGTAACGGGGAGAAAAGCAAAGAGATTCTGAGTTCAGGTTGCCACAGTAACCCTTGCTCTTCCGTTTGTGCTTTTCCATTAGGAAAATCTTTCACTCTGCAAACACCCAGCTCCAGGTATGTGACATATACTGATCAAATATGGTGTGACTATTGACTGCCAAGAATCAATGAAGAGCATTGCAGGAGCATTTTCATGTTTCTGAGTCTTCCTGTAGCTTCTAGACCCTCCTTGCTTGACACATCCAGAAGAAGGGTAAGTGTGGTGGGGGGCAGGGGGGACAGCACTTTGCATCCAGAGATCTCCCTTGTCTGTTCCTTGCTTGCACTCCTGAGTATGCTATGCGGTGGAGGGAAAACATTGTCTTCTCAAATGTATCTTATTCTTGCGATGTGTGTTGCTGCATTATAATGAGTATGTGTTGGCTGAAGGCTCAGTTGTTTTTCTTTCCTTTTCTGTCACTGTAATGCTCTGTTTCTTGCTCTTCACTGACATAAAAGGTTCCCCTCCCACCTACTTCTGGGGGAAAAAAAATCTAAGTAGGGGGAATGACACAACTTGTGTAATTGTTTCCTCGCTTTGCATGTTTCTAGGCTGATTGCCTGAATCAGGGCTGATCCAAATTCCCACGGAAGTCGATGGGAGCCTTTTCACTGAAATAACAGTTTTATTTTGGAGGAGCTTGGACCAGGCCCAAAGCCAGGCAAGTGGAAGTAGTGTTGCTCCGTGAACTTCGGTGGAATTATGACAATTTAACCGTGCTAAGGAGGTACCCTGGTGGTTTCATTACCAGGAAGTAAAGAATAACTGCTAATGAGTGGTTATTGCTGCTGCATTTAGGCATGTGCACAAAGGTTTTTTTTTGTTTTTCCTGAGCTAATGTATCTATGTATGTGTGCATGTGTGTGTGTGTGTGTGTGTGTGTGTGTGTGTATTTATATTTATACATACAACTTTGTTTACAGTAATATAAATTATATCACTACATGGAGAACATAAGAATAATGAAGGCAAGATATTTTCTATTTAGGCAAACTAAGGAATACTTCCCTTTCAGAAGCTTTTTTCTTTTGCTTTCTATTCTAGTCCCAGAAATGTTGCAAGTATTTAATAAGTACTTTTCTGCGACCCCCGCCAAAGGTGAGCTCACCAAAGAATCTTTAGAGGGCTAAATGAGCTTTCAATTTTTTCCCCACAGTAAGCATGCACATATATGTCCCTCTTTTAGTCAGTACACCTGTTGATTGTTCAGGAAAATCTTCCTCTTAAAATACCTTGCTAGTCATTTTTTGTGTATCGTATGTAGGTTTGAATACCTAGTCAGTTACGTACCTGATAATGATAGAGACTCTTGACTTCGAAATCTTCTTTTGCATGTAGGTCATACATAAATGGGTAGAGTTATGCCTGCCCAAGTCACAAGTTTTCTTACAGATTTGTCTATCAATGGTACAGAATTTTTTCAGATGAAAGTTAAATTATTGGCTGATTAATTTTGAAAGGATGTCTTATGTCAACTTTTGCATCAAGTGCAACATAGCATCTTTATTTTCAAATGAGGCCTCCCACAAAGATGCTTTCCCTTCCTGGATGGGAAAATGAGTAGCAGCTCTATAATGAATAGTACAGAGCAGCTGCCAATAACGGTGAAAATGTGGTGAAATTAAACAGAATTACAAAATATTTCTTGGAGACTGTGTATTTCCCCATGTACCACCTGCTTGGTTCACGGGCATGGCGGTAGAAGTCCAGTCTGCGTGGCTACACGTGTGTAACATGTATTTAGCTCTGGCTACCGCACCAGAAAAAGGCCCCGATCCGCTTCTGGCCATCTCACCGATGGCTCTCATTACACAGCCGGGAATGAAATCGTCTCAGGGTCCAGCGAGCAATGCAGATGCCCCATTACATATTATACCATCATACTTCCTTTAGGCAATTACAGTGTAACAAGATGGTAATTAATACTTGGTTGATCTTGGGATTATTTATCCTCACAAAAATCTAGTAAAAAGGAATATACTCAATTCTAGATGGGGCGTTGAAAGGAGGAGAGAAAGATTGAAGGCCTGGGTCTTCAAAGGTGCTCTGGAGATATACTGCCTGTTGACTCTAGAAGGCATTGGAATATTTCTTGAGGATGTGGATGCAAAATGGTCAGATACAGAGAGCAGGGGGTAGGGGGAGCGCTTGCCGAAGCACTTCTTGCAGCGTTGAAGCTGCAACCCTTAGCTGTCGGGCAGCCGAAGAGCCAGGTGCTGCTTCTCATCCTTCTGCCAAGCCATGTTTCTTGTTTTCCCCACTGGAGTATTGAAGCCAGCGTACCGACGGGTGGCTCCTCTCGCTGCTGGCTCGTGCTGGGCAGGCTTGGGCTCTGGCTGCTCCCTGCCCGCCAGCTCTCGCTTGGTGCCCAGCACTGCACCACTGGGCAGCAGCGTTTTAGCAAAAGCCCAACTTGGTGTCACCTGCTACTGCTGCTGGGCGAGAAATGCCATCATTTCACAGGTCCTATCATTATTCAGCACCCACTTTTCTGGCAATATAGCAGCTACATGAGCTCAAGAAGTTCAGAGGCACCAGTTAGAGCTGGGCGCGAACTGCTGTTTGAAACCTGAGCCCAAGCACTCAGGGTTTGGCTAGCAGAAAATAAAAGCTCATTACTCCATTCCTGACTCACATGTTACTTCCATCTGCCAACTTCTCAGCTCTCCAAACATCTGTCTGACAAATAGCTTTGTGCACAAACTGTAGCATCAGACCGCGCTCTCCTTTGATCCGCACAAGCAAGGAAACCATGATCACGACTGCCCCAGGAGCAGACCTCCCGCCAGTCCTGTCCTCTCGGTGCACAGCTATTGGCACTTCCAAATGTTGCGTGAGAAAAAATGTGGTCTCATGCTGCCTGAGCTGAGCCTGTCTTTCAGGTTGCAAGAGGGTTTCTGAAGCTCTCAAACCCCAGGATTCAGTCTAGAAAATGGGGCTTTAGGACCATACAGGCTTTTCCAGCTAAACCATTCTTAACTAAGAAAACCATTGCTTCAAAACAAAACTAATTAATTTTTTTTCTAATTTGTTTGAAGAGAAATTTTGGCTTAGAGTAATTAATTTTGAAGCAATATTTATATTAATTTTGCAGCAATATTTATGTGCATACTCTACTCTACAGGTGTAGCAGCTTGTCTCTGCAAGCACAGTTAGACCAATCCCTAATATTAAATACCAGTGTGGCAGAACGAATGTGTTGTTTTATTTTGCTTACAGGTTCAGTATCTGTGCACCCCAGACCCTGGAGCAGACTGGTGTTAACTCCTATCAGCTTGTCTGGAATTGGCCCATTTAGAAAGAAAAACCAGAGGAGTCTGTGCCCAAGGGCCTTGTGGAAGAACCAGGTGGTCAACAGAAAAAGTACGTGAGCCCAAATAAGACATCATCTCTGTCACACAGCAGTTAGTGGGGACAGGGTAAAGCTGGCCAAAGAGCCGCTGGAAAAGTCTGAGGTACCCAAAATGTTCGTTAAAGAGTTCATTGGCCATGGCAGTATTGGGCAAATTGGGCAATGAAAGAAACAGAAAGCTCCCACACCTTTGACCAGTCTGCTTATTGCTCTCCATTTGCCCCTTCTCTGTCTACCAGAATAAGTAAGCATTCCTGGGTCCGCCTTTCTTGATCTCCTTGTCTTCTCCCTCCTAATCAGTGCCCTCAGCCATGTCTCCTCTCCACATGCCAGCAGGGAATGGGAAGCTGAAGCTGTAGCTGTGGCTGCTAAGGCAACATAGAGTCTAACCAGCTGCTTGCTAGCCAGGGGGCAAGAACAGATGAAGCTGCCTACTGCTGGAAGTCAAGCGTGCTGAGGGGAACAGCGTGAGTGGCTGAGTTGCAGTCTGGAGAACTTTCTCCTCAAAATTTTCACAGCTTAACACAGCTTAATGCTGGCAACTCAAAGAGAGGTAGACCATGAGAGGGAGATGATAACAGCACATTTAGGGTTTGATTACTGCTTGTGAAATCGAGGACAACTTCTGCTTCCTAATACATATCCCACAGTCTCACACTGGGGTGGCAGAAGCATGAGAAAGTGTAGGCTGTCCTCGCAGCGCTGTGAACGTACCTTGACGAGTGGTCCTGCCCCGATGTTTCTCACTGCAGAAGTCATGATACATGGGAAAATAGGAGCTGGGTGTATGAACATATTTTTCATCAAAGCAGTTGCCTAAAATGTTTTTTGCTTCAAACCTTCTGTGAGATAAATCCATTCAGGTAGAAAAGCCAGTTGTTCCCCTTGTAATGGGATTTAAATGAATTATGACCACTTGCATTTGAAAGATTTATGTTGAACCCCTCAGGACTGAAAGGCCCAGAAGACCAAAGCTGTCTCCTAGGCCTGCATTAATACTCTTTGTGCTGGCTTGTGTGAAAACGTCATATTGGTATTGGGTATAGATAAGCCAGGGACATAATTTTTGACTCTCACTAGCCTTTAAAAATATTCCTTTGCTAGTGGAGTCACTAAAATTGAGACTTGGTCTCTTCCTCACTGAGAAAAAGCCCAAGAAAAGTCCAGCACAGTTACCCCCTTCTATAATCCTGCAAGAAAAGCTGGTGACGTAGTCACAAAATCATCCTTTAGCAAGCGGAGGGGAAGCGAGGACCACAGGAACTGCATGTGATGGATGTGTTAGATAGAAAGCACAAAGATATAGGGCCACGGCTACAGCTGATATGTATAATTACGTAAAGAAGCCAATGAATACAAAGCATGAGAAAGTTCTACCGTCATGAATCTGATCATAAGCTATGAAAATGATTTACCACTCTTACTTGTACTGGAGCAGCTTACATCTATTAAAATCCCTTTGGAAATGATAGGAGAGAGCCTGCCGCTTAGCTCACATTTTGCAGTGTTTTCTTGTGGCGCTTCTCAGGATTCAGACGCACGGCAGAATCCGACCTTGTGTAAGAACTTAAGATTTTCTACTAATTTTTCTTTTTTTTTTAAACATACTGATTTTTTATTAGCTTAAGTCTCTCTTCCCTCTCCCCTACCAATTAGTAGGATGTGATATAATCTGTATATGAAGCATCCAGTTATCCTACAGGTAATAAGGAGCTAGACGGGTATGGCTTTGCTACAGTGAGCTGTGTAAAATAAGAGATCCAAACCACAGGTTTGCATCCATTTCTATGAGAGCCGGGGGCAAACTTGAACAGCCCTCGGGGCCAGCTATTCAGAAGAAGACACGGAGCCCGGTGAACAGAAGCGGAGTGCCACGGCACTGAGCTTCTCGTGGAGAAAGCTCAAAGGGCAGCAGCCGAGGCAGAGCCGCGGACGCACTTTGCTCGGGCGGGCCGCGACGGCGGCAGCTCGTTGAACTTAGCC